CACCGAAATTGATTTGATTAAACTTTTATAGGCGGACAAAACATGTTTTGTCGCTTTCGTTTTAGCGTTGTAAGAAATTATTATTATCGATGAGAAATTTGTCAATTATCGATCTTGATGCATATCGGTATAGATATTTCTATTATATCAAAATTTATAAGTTATCAATACTTTGGTTATCGTTATGGAAATTAATTGAGCAATCGCTGCATCAGTTTTTATCGAAGTTTCCACCGCTATCGATAATTTAACTGTTACTAGTATTTTAAGAAGTCTATATTTTTTAGTATCAATTATATTTGAACCAGGTACCGAAAATGATCTTTACTATGAAAGATTTTCAATTGAAAATCGTTGCAAAGTCGTTATTTTTTATTTATATTTTTACAAAAATTTTGAGTCATTATTTTATTTTTTTTTTTTTCGATTACAACTAATCGCTATTTTAGTAATTGGTATTTTATGGTTTTTATTTTTTTGATCAAAAATTATGTTATTTTTGAATTTTTATTTTCGAATATTTTTTAACCGTAGTTTTATGATTTTAATTTTTTCGATCATATTATAACCGTTTATTTTCAGATTTCATATTTTAGATCATACAAGATTTAAATCGATTATAAGAACTAGTCTCTATTATAACGGTTAAAAATCATATAAAAAAAATCAAAAAAGCGATTTTTTTTTATTTTATCACAAAATAACGTTTAGAGATGATCGAAGAAATAAAAATCACATAAAAACGATCAAAAATTAACGAAGAAATAAAAATGACGAAGTAACGAATACGGTCCCTGATTTGATTTTGTATTTAGTCACATTCTTTAAAAATGCTTTTATATTTTTCTTATTAATTTGACCAATACTGTAAGCTTACAGCTATCAAGGTCTTGTCGGATCCAGTTAAATACTTTTTATACCAAAGGTAAACGAAGGTCTGTAATGCCATTTTTCTTTCTTCACGGATACGTCTTCTGACCTGAAAGAAGTACTATCCCAAGTTCTAATGCCTGAAAATAGTGGCATATCTCCAAAACGCACCTTAAAACATCTCCCAAAATAATAAGATCATTGATTACAAACAATGCCTACTTCAGATCAGGTTCCAAAATTAATGGGAACATAAAAAAATGACGCAAAAATTAACAAAAAAAAAACGCTGAAACAAGCCACAGGCAATTTCTTTTACCTACCCAAAGTTTCCACCACCTTTCGCACGGTGCTGTCCCTCTAAACCAAAAAA